GTTGCTCTGCATGGCTACATTTGTTATTTCTCGTTGACAGCCTAATGTTAGAAGAAAGCAATTTTACCTGATGGATGATCATAAGAGGGGGAGAGGCTATATCAGCTTCATGCCTCACCGGTGAATTATGCACAACAGAATCCCATATATGCCCGAACCGGCTGCCCGCAATACCTGCCTTCTCAAATATACTACCAGTCTGTCTGCTTTGTATTATTGCCAGAGCTGAGACTTTTCAGCTGTCAGAATGTGCATGAGGCCTATTCATTACCATAGTATTTACTTGTCCTCTTAAATCAAATGGGCTGTCAGTCCTTACATTACCGCGGCGGCATGAGAAATTCTTGACGTATTTGGAAGCAGCGCAGCTCGGACACCTGATTCATGGGTCTCAGGCCATTCATGATCGCAGAAATCAATAGGCGCTACTCCTCTGGCCCGCACTTTGTCTGTTGGCGGCAATAGGGATAACATGTCAAAGTGAACCTCCTCAATCTTGTCACTTTAAGTGCAATCAATACTCCTTTCCCCACCAAACCAACGCCTTCTGAGTACCAGCCCCCCTCTCCTCACACTAGGCTGAACATTTCAATCAATATCTGACTGGAGGCTAAAAACATCTGCAGAAGCAACAACGAAAAGCGAGGTGGAATTAAATGCTTTACAATATACTGAGGACGACGACGCGCTTGGCTGGAGCGTCTCCGCAGGAACAGAAATGCGATGAAAAGAGAACAAAAAATTGAATTCCCCGACTGCTGAAGTCTACAAATACCATATTTGTGTTGCGTAAACGTAACACGGTTCGCCGAAAACCTCTGAAAATAGCAACACACTTGTAGGACTGAGTGATTGAATTCCATGGATCTGTCATAGCCAAGCAATTAAACCACAATTCAAACGAAGCATAGATTAGCAAACACTAAGTCAAAGCACCGCTGCTGCTATGATACCATTAGCTTCAAAAAAGACTGCTTTTAATCTTTAAACACGGTTTCCCAGCAGTGTTTTACACGGTGAATCTCTGAGCCCACTGCCCCATACATCACTGTGGACGATTCTCAACGTATGGTCCACACGTCGGCTTCCAGACGGCGCCAATCCATAAAAGCGGGCCTCCGGCCAAAGTATCCGTAAATTAGTCCACCTAAAAAATTCAACAAGCCCAGTGAGAGGTTTGATGTGTGCATCTAGGTGCTTGGCCCTGGAAACGATTGTATTAATTGCCTTGGGGATTATGAGACACAGACCTCCACTCCCTCATGCATATTTGACACTTCTAGCTGCACGCTCAAGCCCCTGTTGCAGCTAATGGATGATGTTTGGCGGGGTGTTGCATATGTATTAGCTACCAAGTTATGAGTGGGCGCGCGGCGAGCACATCCCCGCGCATGCCGATCCTTCCATGTGTGTGCGTGCCGGGCTCCGTTATCTGGAGCCAGCCAGGGTGAGCGCAGGGCCGGGGTGGTCAGGTTGCCGGTTCCTAATTGGTGCGACTGCTCCCTGATCGCCTGCCCCCTCAAAAAGCCGGTGCTGCCCTCTTCTGTTAATCTGTGCCAGGGATTTAGCTCCGCTTGACACGAAACTGACCTGACAGTCCGTTGAGTGTTTGTTGTGAGCAAACATGGACACGGCAGAAAGGCAGACAATTGAATATGCAGTCATTTAAACACAGGAACGCACACACACACACACACACACACAGGAGATGTATACTGTGGTGCAAATGAGAGACAGATATGCAGTCAGACAGACAAGCGCACACACACACAGCTACACACAATCTCAGTTCAAAGAGCCGCAACTCCATTTGAGATATGGCTCTGGACAGCATCACTATGATGAAGAGGCAGAGCTCTTGACAGTGTTGTTGGTGGAACAGCATCAAACAGTGGTGTGAGTGTGTGTGTGTGTGTGTGTGCAGATGCCACAGCTGCTGATAATGTCCACTCACAGTCCTCGAGTGAGAAGCGAGCTTGTTGATATCAAGCACTCGCGCATAGCTATACATGGTGTCCTTTTTTTTTTTTTTGTCTGCAGAGATCGTGTGGCTACGATGGAGTGACATCTGATCTGATGACTTTTGAAACTTCACAACATGACTCAAAGCATCAGAAAGGCATCGCTGTCTAATCCGATATGCAAATATTGTAAATAGAGGAAGGAAGCTGACGGGGGGAATTTGCTACAGAATCAGCTCGTGTTTAGATGTAGTTCGCTAAAGCAGAAGTAACAGATCAGAAGCTTTTTTTGCAATGGAGATCCAGCCTCTGATGATCGGAAACACCAGCGTTAACTCCACGGCTCAGTCTGACAATCCAAAAGCCAGAAAAACAACCATGATACAACCGTGACCCTGATTGCACTTGCAACTGGGGGGCAGCACTAAATACATGTCAACATCTGATCCAGTCTCTCGAACCACTTGCAGAGGTGGTCCTGGACACATAAAGCACTTATACTTTGTAGTGTGAACACTGCTGCTTACCCCTACAAGGGCTTAACGGGAAAACATATCATTAATGCAGGAAATTGTGGTTGATGCCCTGTTGCTAGATGCCATTCTAGTTGTTGAGATTGGCAGGATAAAGCCATTTGCGTCTATGTATTTTAGTTCTCCAGCCATTTTTGTTTTCTTTCCTATCAACAGAACCGACAGGCATTGCCTATACAAAGAAGTAATTGGCTTTTGAATCATGGTTTATAGAATTGTACTTTGTTCAGAAGAATGTACCAGAAAAAAGACTTTCATGTCCAAGTGTAAGCAGATTTCTACAATGTGATGTTGATTCAGTAAAAACATAAAACACTAAGTAAGCGACTGCATAAGTATTCACCCACTTTAAAGTGACTCACCTATTTCAGCACTTCCGAGGAGGATAAAGAGTTTTTATAGGCAAAGTAACAACTGTGCAATCGACTTTTCTAGGTCAAGTGACATCAGCAGTAACAAAATCTGAACTCTAGAGTCAGCTGGAGATGTCTGATAGACACATGGGACCGTGTCTCATTTGTCCACTTGGATTATCCATCCATCCATTATCTATACACTGCTTAATCCTCACTAGGGTCGTGGGGGGCTGGAGTCTATCCCAGCTGACTCAGGGTGAAGGCAGGAGACACCCTGGACAGGTCACCAGTCTATCACAGGGCTACACTTAGAGACAGACAACCAAGCACACTCACATTCACACCTACAGACAATTTAGAATCACCAATTAACCTCAACATGTTTTTGGACTTGTGGGAGGAAGCCGGAGAACCCGGAGAGAACCCACGCTGCACGGGGAGAACATGCAAACTCCACACAGAAAGATCCCGGTGCCCCCACCAAGACGCGACCCAGCGACCTTCTTGCTGTGAGGCAACAGTGCTAACCACTGAGCCACTGTGCAGCTTGGACTGACCAAAAAATGATTTCAAACTGACTCAATTTCATCCAATCAAAGACTGAACTGAAGACAGCCAAATAGTCTTGCACCACAAGTCTGCCCCAGGGCAGCTGTGGCTACAATCATAGTTTACCACCACCGGATTGAATGCGTGTGAATGAATAATTGACAGTGTATTCACTTTAAGTTTAGAAAAGCGCTATATAAATCTGATCTATTACCAGAGGTTTAAATGCACTGTAATGTCAATTTAAATGTCAATCACTTATCTTAAAGCTACATTAAAAGATTATTTGTGTAGGGGAGCTGGTTGCCAACAAGACAGAGACATATTATTACCTCACAAGGTTATAATCCAGCAGACACTGAACAACCTTAGTATTCATTTGAGGTCATGTTTCTTGGCTCTGCCTCAGTCTCCACAAACTCCTGAGGGAAATGTCTTTCTCTTTAGCAGCTTTTTTTTTTTTTCCTTTCCTCAGCTACATTTACAAGCTAGTCGCTAACTGTGTCTGTCAGCTGTTGGGTTGTTGTTGTTGTTGTACAGTGGGTTTATCACAGTTTTTTTTCCTCAAAAACAGTTGCCTGCTGCTGCCGGAAATGAAGCCGATAAGAGCGCTGAGACCGAAGCAAAACATCGAAGTTATGAGGTGTAAAGGCACAAACGGTGACCTCAGAGACGCTTAAATGCTAATTTAATCATAAACAGAGAGATAAAAACATGGTTAGTAACTGCAAATCTTGGAAGTAAACTGAGAAAGGATTAAAAATCAGATAGTGAGCAATCATTTCCACTTCGGGAAAATGACTTAACTGTAATTGCGGCGCTTCAAAGTTCAGACGGTTTGTGCTAAATACTGCGTATGAAATATCAGTTTAATGTGCATCAACACGCATGACTACTTACCTGAGATTATCCGAGTTTTTTTCATTCATTTTTGCACCCACCTGGTGCTCTAAAGCCTCCTGAATTGAAGCACTACATGTTCAAGGTCTTGGTGTGCCTGTAGCACAACAGGTACAGTATTTGTGGATTCACAACTCATTCCTTAATAGTCAAGAGCTCATTTGTGTCTATTGGTGCCTCTTGTAAATCCTTTCACAAGGTAGAAAAATGTCACACAGAGGTGCCTTAATATGAAAACAACATGATTTTATGTGACACATTCAACAAACTAAGGGGTGGATGACAAAAACCATGAACATTATGATGAATACATTTAGAATCATTCGTTTTGAAGCTCGGTGAAATGATTCATCTTTACAGAAAGTATGTAATATACACTGCAAATATGTCAACTGTGTGCATTTTTAAGCATGCATCAGTATATCTAAATTCAATTTCAGCGATAATGCACATCATACATTAAGACAGATGCAACTCTTTGTCAAATATAATTAAAGAAGTTTCAACGTGTAATCCGTGTGTGCAGAGAGTGGTGGAGACGCCTCACTGCAATGTTTGAACAGATGAGGCATAATCTGGAAATGAGTCACTCCGGAGTCAGAGCCCAGGATGAGTGCATCTCTTTCGGGGGGTTTGACTCGGTCGGAGTGTCGTGAGTAAACAGTCGATCACCGCCCAAGTCACGGCGGCTCCGTACTTACAGCGAGTGTTAAGCAGTCCGTTGGGCTTTCTTGCGCTCGGTTGACATATTCGGATGGTGTGCGTTCAGTTTGGCACCACAGAGTCTTTCTTTGACAGGAGGAAGCGATGAGCGTATCTGGCTCCAGCTTCATGGTTTAAAGCCATGGCCACTGTGGAAGAAGGACAAACATAAAACAGAGTGAGCACACGGTGCGTTGAAGAGCTACCTTCATGTCATCCCGACTCCAGACAGAACGCAGGTATTGGATGCTAAAACTCCTGGTTGCGTTCGATGACCCTACAAGGCAACATTTTTTAGAGGTATATCTATGATATCTGCACATGACAAAAGACAGTATGGTTCAAAATATGTCAACCTGTTGGGTAATGCATGTTCTTTCCAAGATTTTCATCTGTTGACTACGAAGCTACAGACAGGACTTGTATAGCTCAAGCCTCAAAATGGAGACAACAGCAGGTATGGTTGTGTTCACAGGTTTAAAAATCAAACAACCAGCACATCAAAGTCCCACTAGTCAACATTTTATGTCTCTGTTTGTCTATACAAAAAAAACGGAGGTAAGTTTTAGTTTTTCATGGGGTTTGACAGTGTGTATGCTAAGCTAAGCTAACAGACTCTCGGCTCTAGCTTAATATTTAACACAAAAATGTACAGATGGTCTTTACTTTCTCACCTAGTTTTGAGAAAGAATGGCAAAATGACACCATATATCTGAACCAGAGTTGTCAAATGTAAGCCTGAAACTGTGATAGCTCATTAAAACCACTTCATGCTACATGTGCCATTTAAAAAACATTGCTGCAGCACTAATGGCTAGCAGGCAGGCTAGCCATTAGTGACTTAGTTGTGTCCAAGAGTCACTTGACAAAAATTCTGACTTTTCAGGTGAACTGCAGGCTGTGTACGGAACATCCAAGTAGTGAAATATCTACAGTATTTTGTTGCTGAATTAATTCATTTTGTAAGGAAACTTCATTTTAAAACAATTGTCAACTTGTAGTGTCTTGTACTGTCTTACCATAGTTACAAACGGAACACTTATGTGGAAAAACTTGTTAAAACAACTTCATTTTTATGAGTAATCAACTTAAAAACCCGTGTTTATGCCATAAAGGCCCAGAAACTTCTTGGAGTTCAGGAGGTTAAAGTTTGGGAACATAAGGGAGCAGAAACACTTGTTTGTAGTGTGAATCATAAACACCTCTTGTAAGAATGTAAATTTCTTCCATCTAACCTTCAGGCATTTCCACCTTGATACTTTACAGGCGTTGCATTTCCCGTATTGCTGCTGAATGTATAATAAACTGGGAGAGGCCAAAAAAAGTAAAAAATTCAATCGACTGATGTATTTCCTGGAAATTCTGCGCTGGTCATGCTTGATCCTGAGTCAGTGATGCTATTTCAGGGGTAGAAAAGTGTCATAGACTTGGCCTGGAATTTAAGTTTCAGTTCTCACTTTGTAAATTATACAGTACTCAGTCCCTGCAGACCTATAATCCCCATCATACATAATGTACACATCCTGCACGACAACCAAAGAAGATGACGGTGGCTCTGACAGCCTCTGATGTAAATGAACGTGGCTCTGAGTTCACTGTATGTGAGCACCCTGTATGGCTCTCTGAGACCATTATCCCAGAGTGCTGCAGCACTTTCACTCTCACTCCCCGACGAGTCACCAAAATCCACACCTCCATGTTTAAATGCAAATTTCAGTTAGAGCACCTTAGAGGAAGCGAAAGCGGTTTAGAAATCTCTTTAACCAAGTCTTGCACACTTATTAAAATTACCTCTCGACAAGCTTGCGTCTTCAACTTAAGAAGAGCAAGAACGAAACAATGTCACACCTGCTTTTGAACCGAGGAAGAGCTGAAGAAGCTGAGGAGAGGGGGAAAGAGACGGGAGCGGCCGATAATGGGATAAATCCTGAGCCCTGAGGCCGCCGTGTTCGGTACACTAAGCCAGTCTGCGCTGGCGGAGAGATGTAGTGTCATGATAGCAACTTGTGTTTATGGGATGCCGTTGCGTGGACGCGTCGGCTATTACCGTCTGCGGCATGTCATTCACTGTTATGACTAATCACAGAACACGAGGCGGCAGAGAAATCACAGAAAAAAAGAAAAACCCTCCCCGCTTCTGAAACAAAACAGCTGCCTGGAAGAAATGAAGGTCGTTTCAGCAGAACGCCAGCAGGGCTTTAGTGAGTGAAAGATTTTTTCTTTTCTTTTTTTGGAGGAGGGTGAAACATGCTGAGGCTGCGTGACGCATCGCTGTTGTCTCACATAGTTAGACAATACATTGTCCAAATAATTTCCCCCGTGGTGAAAATCTGCCTAATGATCTCCATCTCTGGTGCTCTAATTCATTTATTATGTTAATAAGAAAACCCGTTAGTACGATCAGACAATGCACAAACCGAAGTGTACTTCTCTAATCATGTAGGAGGATGATTTCGAAGGCTTCTAGCAATCTGGCCGCATTATAGCGACGATGGAAATTGTTCTTAAACTGTCAAACGATAAGGGTTTAAAATATCTAATAGGCAGCTTTGGATGTGGATTGCAATCTTCCCTCGCCAACAGGCGGTTAATTCCCTCCTGAGCGAATCAGAGAATTCTGATAAACGCTCCGTGAGGCTTAACATATACAGCTGAGATGTACTTCAGACTGATTGTGCTGTAGGGTGCTGAGATAAGTTTCTCTGAGCAGTGGATTTACTGTATGTGCGTGATGGTTAAAAAAAAAAAAAAAATGTCCATCAAGGTTATGAAAAGCAGCGTATGTTCGTCCCTGGGCGCAGCCTGACCCCGGCCCTTGTCTCCAGCCACACTCTATCAGCCTTAATCTGCAGAGAATTCGCTCGGCCTCTGGGGAGGGTTAACGCTTATTTAATAAAGTGACCAACTTGTGCGGCGGGCTGTCATCACCGAGGACGTCTGGCGGAGAACGTGCTCGCCGACTTGGCGAAATCCTGACGCTTCTAATCCATGTAAAGACGTGTCAGAAAGACAACTGTCAGCTCAGGAATCCGGGATTATTTTGCTGTTTTCAAATCTTCTTCAGCTGCACAAATGTTACATTCATGTGGCTGGGATCTTCGAGCTAAACCAATTATCGTGCGGACAATCTGATTTTGTTCTTTTATGTAACCAGGTACCACCAAGATGCAGCTTTAAATGTGAGGCCTCGGGGCAGCTAAATCACATTTACATCTGATTACGCAACTAAAAATACGTTTTGTTTAAATGTGTTGGTAAAAGATTCTGAAAGTTATCTCCTAGATGTATGATGTGTTTCACCAAAACAGTGAAGCAGCAGCAGCAGCAGCAGCAGCTATTACTCCTCCTCTCACTGGTAAGTGTCCATAAATGACTTTTGATGGCAGCTTGTCCCTCTTTTATGAGTGACTGTAAATTTAGTGAAGGTTCAGAAGGCGTTGAACCTGTGGGGGATTGAACGATGTAAAATAAGAAACCTTTAATTTGATTTTATGTAGCGGCTGTAAAAATAACCAATATGCTTCTTAGGGGATGGTTTAAAGCTGCTTGTATTGTCATGACATCAGTTATGGGAGACAGTGAATCTAAATTTACAAGGTGGAGCGAAGGTTGAGAAGAGGTTGGACAAGTAGCCAGCAGCCAGCGTACCTCACTGTGATACGACAACAAACGCATAATAACTCCATTTAAAGGTGCCCTGTGGCATGTTCTTGTAAACAATGTTATGTTTGTATTTACAAGTCCATTTTAAGTTGGTGCACTGTTGAGTTTCGTTGCTCATTACTGCCACCAGTTGTTGGTCGATGGAGCAGCACACACTGTACATCCATGTTTATGTCAAACTGATGCCTCATGTCCATGCAGGTTCGCTTCACGTCCGTATATCAGTTTAATATCTGGACTGTGCGCCCTTGTTTTCAGCAAAATTAAAGGCATTTCACTTACAGATCATAGAGTTTTTACTGTCCAGTTTTATGCAACATGCATAACCTGCTAGCTCGTTTCTTTTTCCAACTTTCTGGTGCACACAGTCTGGTCTCACTGTAATCTTCTGTAAAATTTTTCAGTGTGTTCAAGTAAAAATCTGCATCAGAATAAAACAGGAGGAGTTTCATAGACACATTGGCGATCACTGAGGAATGGATGGAGTTAATTCATATATCATAACAGAGTTATGTGGAAAGAAGGTGTAAACTCATAGGGACATGGACGTACATACAAAAACACTGCTCTATTGCACTACTCGTGGCCAAAAACTCTACATAGTACTTTTTAAAATATTTTTCAAATTGGTTCAGTTTTTCACAGAAATTCTTCAGGATAAACATTGACTTTTGTAAAAAACAATTACGAGCATTTCCTGAAAACCAAACTACATTCCTATACAACTAAATCACATTATTAATTAGAGTTTGAAAGAAATATAGTTTTTGGTTTGTTTGCAACACATCACAACACATTCTGTTCTTCTTTTCGACCAATCAGAAACTGCATGGGGTGGCACTTGTAACGCAGTAAACGGCATCGAAGCTTCAAACAGGAAGTGAGAAGTTTGTATATTTTAACCCCAACCACAATATGTTCCAACACCAAGCCAAGTAGTTTTGGTGGCTAAACTTAACCAAACTGAAAGTCAATAAAATAAAACTTAAACCTGAGAATAATGGTCCAACATGGAATCGAACGCAGGTCTCCATCTTCCCCTCTTTCAGACTGTAAGCCTTTCTGACCATGTCATAGATATGAAAATATGTTTGTCAAGAAAACCAAATCCCTTCAAAACATCATCCATCCGTTATCTATACACCGTTTAATCCTCACTAGGGTCATGGGGGGCTGGAGTCTATCCCAGCTGACTCAGGGTGAAGGCAGGAGACACCCTGGACAGGTCACCAGTCTATCACAGGGCCACACTTAGAGACAGACAACCAAGCACACTTACATTCACACCTACGGACAATTTAGAATCACCAGTTAACCTCAGCATGTTTTTGGACCTTGTGGGAGGAAGCCGGAGAACCCGGAGAGAACCCACGCTGCACGGGGAGAACAAACTCCACACAGAAAGCTCCCGGGTGTCCTCACCGGGACACGAACCGGCGACCTTCTTGCTGCGAGGTAACGATGCTAACCACTGTCCCACCTTGCA